CTGTATTTAAGTAGAATTTTCAGGCACCTGAGTAATTCTTTCTCCCTTATTTTAAGCACTTTAAATGTACTTTCTGCTTACATTTTCAAAACAGGCTCCTTACTTTTGCTCTAATACATTTGGGTTGTTTCACGTCACTGCGAGCCTCTAAACATCAAAACGATCTGAGCCTAAACAGGAAAACCTGTTTGCTTACTAATCACCAGAGGATGTCACATAAAATGATCCTGTTGCGTACGGACAAATCAGAACCAATCAGAACCAGCTGGCTCCACATGTCACATGCAGTAGGATAACTTGCAGTGATAATAATAATAATGATAATAAAGTGTAATAAGGTCTTTTTTTCCTATTTGTAAAAGGAGAGTATAATATTTGTTGTTGCTGTATGAAAACAATAAAGATGACTCTATTCTACTCTATTGTGGGCTAACAGTGAACCAGAAACAAACGCTGGATCACTGGATTATGTGAGATCAGATGTTCACTGCTCACCAGAGTGGAGGATTTTCACCTGAAGGTCTCCTCCTCTTTCTTCATCAGCTTCTTCCTCTTCTTCTTGCTCAGGTTCTGCTGCTCCATGATCTTATCATAGTTGAAGTGCTTGGGTTTGGCGTTGGCGCCGTCGTCCCCCATCAGCAGAGCTAAATCCGCCTGGAAACCCATGCAGACGGGTTTATGTGGAGCACGCCGACAGAATCTGATCCAGGACCAGCCTGGCTGTGACCACTCTGACCTTCTGTTTCTGCAGCTTCTTGTCTTTCTTCACTTTCTGTTTCTGTCTGTTTCAGAGCAGTCAGCTGATCCAGGTGTTGTGCATTGACATTGTTGTGAGGTATTAATAAAGGTCAGAGGTGAACAGCTAAGAGCTGACATCAGTGATGTTTGTCTCTGAACAGGAAGCTGAGGACACAATCGGTCCAATGGACGACCTTCATCCTTCACTCTGCTCCTCTTCTTCTCTTTGTTTCTCCTGAAGCTCCGTTATTTGAGGGATTTTAATTTGTCAGGTTTATTTGTCTCAGCTTCAACACCCCTGCTCTACATAAACTATGTGATGTCACTAACCCACGCACAGGATAACTCAGTCCACTGACTCTGAGGGATTACATGTAATATTGCCATGCTCTGGTACTTCCTGCTTGTACTTCCTCATATCTGAGACAATATTATCACTCGTGTGCTTTACGTGTGAGCTGCTTCAGTGTGATTATATCTTTTATTTTGTTTCCACTTTATGAAAATGAATCCACCACAGAAGTCCTCCACAGTCTAAATCAGCCCCACCTTTCCTCCACCCCGCATACCTGTAACTCCTGCCCCAGGCACATTCACCCACACGGAAATCCCATCACTACCAGGCACATTCACATTCCCGGGGATTCACGCGTGATTCCCGGGATCTCCCCTGAAACCGAAAGTAAACCACGTCACAGTGGGCGCGGCGTGACAAAGCACCGCTATGAGAGCTGTCGGTGTTTTGCTGTGCTTTTCTGTGTTTACGGGAGTCTTCGTGGAGGATAAAGAAGCCCCACGGTAAGAAACCCACTCTTATCCTCTTTGAATGGACGCGCGCACACACAGGCGCGCGCGCGCGAAGACCGGCGTAACTAAAAGTTCAAAAGTGAGAAAGCCGACAGGAAAACACGGACCGCTCTAGCTAACCGACCCACGGCAGCACACACAGCCGCCCACAGACCGGCCTGTCGTGTCTGTGCAGGAGCCTCCTGACACACACAGTGGGGTACAGACGGGTTACAGACCGCGGTGCCGTCCGTAGCTCCCTGTGCGGCATGAAGGCTTTATGTGGGGAGGCTTCATTGATGGATGTAGCATGTAGTTAGCAATGCTAGCAGCATGTGCGGTTTGGCTGTTTCTAATAAAGTTTTTACAAACGGTTGCTGTGTCTTCATTAGTGACGTGAGGCTGTGATGAGGAAACATGTTTCCTGGTGAAACAGGTTGTTCGTGTCTGTGGCATGTGTGGCATGTGTGGGTAAAGGGGCGGGGCGTAAGGTGATAACAGATGTTTCTCTGTTGTAAAACCTAAGAACACACCGTCCCTGCTCTCATGATGAATATCAGCTCTGAGGTTATTATTAGCATCAGCCTTTCTAAAGTACACTTTGTTAGACACAGCGGTGTGTCTTTGTGTCTTTGTGTTGTGAGGTTTGTCCTGGATTCATGATGACTGGAGCTCCACCCTTGTGCTGTTGTCTCCGGCTCGATGTTTCTGTTTCCTGTTTCCTGTCTCTTTGTCCTCAGCGTCTCCTGTGGAAGTCCGTCCACTCTCTGTCCCCATTGCGTCTCCTCTCGCTCTGCGCTTTGTCTCTGTGGTTGTTCGCCTTGTCCAGTGTCAGGTTTATATGCCTCAAGTCTCTGTCTCTGAGCTGTGTTTCCTGTTTTATTTTGAAAGTCCCTGGTCCAGTATGTTATGTTATCTTGTTGTCGTTTCTTCCCTCTGTGCTGTGTGCTCTCTGATCCTGATCCTAGCCACTTCTTACTTTGTATTCAGTTCCTAAATTTGGGGAAATCCTAAGGTGACCTCTGACCTTGGGATGGTCAATGATGGTCCCTGATATTCAAACTGATCCAAGATGAAGCTGCACCATGGTATCAGTTTGGGAATCCTACGACTGGACCGTCAGTCTTTTATGGCTGATGAGTAAAAAGGGTGCACCGAGCCAAAGCTCCTACACTTTTTTCAGCTTGCTTGAGTTGTTTGAAGTCCCATTTCTGTGGGTCAGTTTGAAAAAGCTGCTAACAGTGACTAAAATGAGAAAGAAAAACATTACATGTGCACTTTACTTGGAAAATTCAAAGGACTCCATGGCTTTGCATGGTGCTGGGTCTCTTAGGGCCACCTGTTTATTTGTAGCTGCATGCAGCTGTCAGGGTTTTTCTCCCCCTGGTGGTTTTTAAGGCACAGAAGCAGCAGCATGAAGACTGGGCTCGGTCTTTGTAAGTTCCTGGGTTGTTTTTTTATTTGGCTGTAGTTATTCAGCCGGCCAGAGGAACCCTTGAATAGAAACAACTTTGAAACTTGGTGAACATGAAGTCATTGATTTTAGAGATAAACAGCTAAAAAAAGACTAAACAGCATTTAAGACCTTGTGCTATAAAAGAAGTCTGGGTGATGGTTGGTGGATCACTTTTATTCCCAGTTTTTCCTGCTCTGGTTCTTTTGGTTTTGCCTGCTGAGCTCGATCGGTCACTTGTGCTCACATCTTCACATTAGTAAAGTGTTTGAAGTCATTCTCTGTCTCACGGGCCTTAAAACCATCACAGCTCTCACCTGTTTCCTGTTTGTCCTCTCAGTTTTCAAGCATGCCTTGGGTTGGAGGTGTATGAGGGGGCGGAGTCTGTCCTGCTGCCCTGTCAGGTACCAGAGGATGTTTACCGGGACGCCACAGCAGTGGTTTGGGACCGCAAGGACCTGAGCATCCCAACAGTCCATCTGCGTCTGCAGAGCGGCGATGATCTCACGAAACAGAACGTTGTTTACTTCAACCGAACATCGATGAGAGCCGACGCTCTGCAGACCGGAGACCTCAGCCTCACTCTGAGGAAGCCCACGGTCAATGACACCGGCACCTACACCTGCACCACCCGAAGATACGGACAAGATCAGAGCAAGACCCATTTGCAGCTGAGGGTGGCAGGTCAGTGCTGTCGATAGAGGTCAGAGGTCATACTCTGAGAATCTGTTGGGTGATCTCAGGTTGTTTGTGTTTGTGTGGACAGAACGTCCTCCTCCTGGTCCCACTCCTCCTCCAGTCTGGCCCAAATTTCTCTCGGGTGTCCTGGTTCCTGCGGTTCTCCTGGCTGTTGGCTTTGGTGTCCTCATGTATTTTAGATATAAAACGTTAAAGAACAAAGAAGGTACGTGTGTTATTGGACCACTCCACGAACATCATTCGTTCACTTATTAAAACTCATGATGACATACAGCACTTTAGATTGTTAATAATCTAACGTGTGCTTCGTTCTCCTCTCAGTCGTTCAGGTCACAGCAGAACCAGGTGACGAGTCGGTGGTGCTGACCTGCAGAAGCACAGTTCAGCCCCTGCCCGATGGTGCTACAGTGGTGTGGAAGGACAGAAATGAGAGGAAGGTCCACGTATGTCCGAAAGACTCTGAAAAACAGCACAGACGTTACAGGAACCGAACAGAGATGAAGAAAGAGCCGCTGAGGACTGGAGACCTCGGTGTGACCCTGAAACACCCCACAAACACCGACAGGGACACCTACACCTGCACCGTCTACAGCGGGGAGGGGAAAGAACTGATGGAGAAACAGGTGGAGCTGAAAATCAGAGGTCAG